AGTAGTCTCATTGTTGCCTAGGCTGGAGTGCAGTGGCACAATCACAGCCACTGGAACCTGGATCTGATGGGATCAGGTGATCCTTCTGCTTCAGCATTCCAAGTAACTGGAACCATAGGCACGTGCCATCATGCCCGGCCAATTTTTTAATTTATTGTAGAGACAAGGTCTCGCCAAGTTGCTCAGGCTGATCTCAAACCCCTGGACTCAGGCAGTTCTCTGGCCTCCGCCTCCCAAAGTGCTGGGATTATAGGTGTGAGCCACTGTGCCTGGCTATCCCATACCCTTTAATAAATCAAACATAGGGGCTTATAAGAGATCCATTTATATACCACTGGGACTGGGCTGGGTGGTTGCCTGATTGTACTTCCTGGTCATGAGAGCTGTCTGCCATTTTGGGGGTTGGGCACTGGCTGATTTTTTTTCATTTGGCGAAAATCCTATTAGTTCAAAGGGAGACATTCTCTTTTGCTTTACTGTTTTTATTAGCTCTGGATGGGAGGACAGAGTTTACCCTTCAGACTTTATTGTGTAAAGCATCTTGGGTAGGAAGGTTAGAATGAGATAATCCTAGGTTTATTATTGAGAGGATCTGTTCACACTTTCTTTGTATTCGCATACTGCAAGCTCATATTTAAATGACATCTGAAATCAGGAGTCAAGTTGCACATAAGGAAGTCTGGCTGGATCACTCCTAGTTTTCTTGTATCTTCCGTACTGGTTGTGGTTTTAAACTATATTTGTATTGCTTTTAGACCTGCTTATCTTTTAAAAAACGAAACACTCTTTTTGTTTAATAATAATAGCTAATGTTTATTGAGTGTTTGCTGGGTAATAGATACTGCTAGGGATTTTATTTAGATTTTCTCATTTAATCCTCACAAACCCCGATAGTGAGTATTACAGTTTTTGTTTTTTTGTTTTTTTTGAATTGGAGTCTCACTCTGTCACCCAGACTGGAGTGCAGTGGCCGCTTCTGGCTACTGCAGCCTCGACCTGCTGGGCTCTGGCAATCCTTCTCCCTCAGCCTTCCAAGTAACTGGAACTACAGGCGCTCGCTTCCACGCCTGGCTAATTTTTGATTTATTGTAGAGACATGGTCTCGCCAAATTGCCCGGGCTGGTCTTGAACCTGCAGGCTTAGGCAATTCACTCGCCTTGGCCTCCCGAAATGCTGGGATTGCAGGTTGGACCACCAAGCCCAACCGGTTTTAACTGTTATGTACAACATGAGATGCAAGTGCCGTGATGGAAGTCTATACCACAAAGTAGATAAAAAGGAGGAGTTCACTTCTGTGTGGAGAAGTTGAGAGGAAGTACCTTTTGTGTAGAGTCCTAAGAAATAAGTTGATAGACTCTAGGTGGATGAGAGAAGGCCATTCTGGACAGAGTAGTGGCTTGAGAAAGAAGCTTGGAAGGTAAACAGCAGAGAGATCATAAAGGGCTTTGTATTGTAGGCATTGGGGTCACTGAAACTAGTTTTGTATAGTAATGCGTGCTAATGGTAAACAATTCAAGTAGAACCAAAGTGAAAGATAAACATTTCTACTAGCCTAGATCCTCCGGTTCTCCTATGTAGTTTCTTATGTATCCACTGAAGTGCTTTAAGCAGGGTGGTTATATGGCCAAATCAAGTCCTCATATTGAGACTAGATTTAAGGGAGCAAGACGGCAGGGAAATAGGTTAGGAAGAGGTCGAATAAGTAAGAGATATTCAGAAACTGAGCTAAGGCAGTAGCAATTGGAATAGACAGGGCCTGATGGAGGAGCTTAAGGAAGTTACATGAGATGGAGCTATCTAAGATGACTCCTAAGTTTCTTCTTTTTTTTTTTTTCCGAGTTGGAGTCTCACTCTGTCACCCAGACTGGAGTGCAGTGGCACGCTCCGGGCCACTGCAACCTCGACCTGCTGGGCTCCGGCGATCCTTCCGCCTCAGCCTTCCAAGTAGCTGGAACTACAGGTGTGCGCTACCACGCCCGGCTAATTTTTTGATTTATTGTAGAGATGAGATCTCGCTGCCCAGGCGGGTCTCGAACCCGCGGGCTCAGGCAATCCACTCACCTCGGCCTCCCAAAGCGCAGGATTACAGACTGAGCCACCGAGCCTGGCCTAGTATTACAGTTTTTTGCAGTTGATGAAACTTAGACCCAGCAAGTTTAAATAACTTGTTCAAGGTTAAACATCTAGTAAAAGAACTGGGGTTTGAACATGGAGACCACTGTGTTATGCTGACTTCATAGTATAGCACAAAGTTTGTTTTGTTTTTTGATTTTTTTTTTGAGTCAGGGTCTTGCTCTGTCATCCAGGCTGGATTGCAGTGGCGCAGTTGTGGTCTTCCTCCAACTCCTGGGCTCAAACGATCATCCTGTATCAGCCTCTTGAGGTGCTGGGACTACAGACATGCACCACCACACCGAAGCTTATTTTTTGTAGAGATTAGGTCTTGCTGTGGTGCCCAACCTGGTCTCAAACCCCTGGGCTCAAGCAGTCCTTACACCTCTGCCTCCCAAAGTGCTGGAATTACAGGCTTGAGCCACCGAGCCAGGTCACAGACTATCTTATGTGTCTAGGAAGCTTCTTGTAAATGAAGTAGTTTGGTTCTGATGATCCCTTGGTAAAGGCAGGCGAGGAAGTTATTGGGCACCAGATAACTTCCCATTCCTTTTACTACTTCTCTGATTTCTGTGAGCCATCTACATATTATTATAAGTGTGTTGTTTTTGAAATATGCTGTGCTTTCCCAGAACAACAGAGAGAGGAGGTCACTAGTTACCTAACAGACTCAAACAAGAATGGAAAAAAACGAACTGTGACCCACCGTTATATCTTGTGCACATAGAAGGGAAGGTGTGTATGTGTCCCTTATACCAGGGAAGCTGGCTATGCATAAAACTAGGGGAGAGGAATGGTAGGATCAAATGAAATGGACTTTCTAGGCATAGCATTTCCAGAACTTCTGAAATAAAGCTTTGGAAGGAACCTAACCTCGAGATTAGGGAATTAACTTTTTTTTTGAGTTGGAGTCTCACTCTGTCGCCCAGACTGGAGTGCAGTGGCCGCTCCCGGCCACCTCAGACTCGACCTGCTGGGCTCCGGCGATCCTTCCCCCTCAGCCTTCCAAGTAGCTGGAACTACAGGCGTGCGCTGCCACGCTCAGCTAATTTTTTATTTATTGTAGAGATGAGGTCTCACCAAGTTGCCCAGGCGGATCTCGAGCCCGTGGGCTCAGGCAGTCCACTCACCTCAGCCTCCCAAAGGCGCAGGATTACAGGCTGAGCCACCGAGCCCGGCTTCTTCTTTAAATCAACAGAACAGATATTGCTTTTATTTTATTTTTTAGAGACAGGGTCTTGTTTTGTTGCCCAGGCTGGACTTGAACTCCTGGGGTCAAATGATCCTCCCTCCTCAGCCTCAGGCACACACCACTGCATGCCCCAACAAACCTTTCTATCTTAATTTTTCTGCCTTTTTAGAAAGCATAGTAACTATTCCAAGTTGCTTTTTCTGTATCAAGACAGATGATGTCTTTCATGTATCAAGTTAGTATGCACTAGTACATCACAAGTATCTGATTGATATGTCAGACTGATAATTCTGGCTTTTGCTTCCTATCTGCTCTCTTTGCTGTTAATCAAATAATTATTTAATTTATTTATTTGAGTAGGAGTCTCTGTCACCTGGAGTGCAGTAGCACGCTCACAGCTACTGCAAGCCCTATCTGCTGGGCTCAGGAGATCCTTTCACCTCAGCCTTCCAAGTAGCTGGAAATACAGGCGCATGCTGCCTCGCCTGGCTAATTTCTTTTCTTTTCTTGTCTGTTTTTTTTGAGTTGGAGTCTCACTCTGTTGCCCAGACTGGAGTGCAGTGGCATGCTCCCGGCCACCACAGCCTCAACCTGCTGGGCTCCGGCATACTTCCGCCTCAGCCTTCCAAGTAGCCAGAACTACAGGCGTGTGCTACCACACCGGGGTAATAATTTTTTTTTTTAATTTATTGAAGAGACAAAGTCTCGCCAAGTTGCCCAACCTGATCTTGAACTCCTCTACTCAGGCGATCCTCTCGATTCCACCTTCCAAAGTGCTGGGATTACAGGCGTGAGCCACTGTGCCTGGCTATGTATCCTCCTTTTCCAAGTCCTTTCACTAATGTAGCTGTACTGTCTTTAGATGTCTAGAGCTATGGATAGGATAACATAGAAATTATGTTTAGCTCAAGTATAATAGCAAAACAGGCCAGGCTTGGTGGCTTAGTCTGTAATCCTAACACTTTGGGAGGCCAAGGCGAGTGGATTGCTTGAGCCCACATGTTCGAGACCAGCCTGGGCAACTTGGTGAGACCTTGTCTCTACAATAAAGAAAGAGAATTAGCTGGGGGTGGTAGCGTGCACCTGTAGTTCTGACTACTTGGAAGGCTGAGGTGGCAGGATCGTGGGAGCCTAGCAGGTCAAGGCTGTGGTGGCTGTGAGTGTGCCACTGCATTCCAGCCTGGAGGACAGAGTGAGGCTCCACCTCAAAAAAAAAAGTCTAATAACAAAACAGAGGGTGCATGTCAAATACGCTTTTCTTGCTTTCTGTAAAAAGATGGCTTTGAGAACCTTTTTGGACCTGGGAGTGTGACTCTGGCCCTACTTTGAAGATAAAATGTTAAATGTTACAGTTGAGGGCTATTATCTAAGATAGAAGGGTAACCTGGGTTGGAAGTCATTAGGGTGGGGCTTGCTTACACAGGCAAGATGCCTCCAGGTTTATATCTTGGTTTTTCTCACTAACTTTTTATTTCTACAAAACTGACTTTTAAAGAATATTTCTATAGAATCACTGCCCAGTCTAGGGGCATATTTTCTTCTCTTTTTTCAACTTGTACTTCCCTCGCAGTAATTAGATACTTAGATAGAAGGGTAAGTAGACGCGGAGTGGTGTGGGTATTTCCCCCAGAAGATTCCAGGTGACGTAACCTTGTTTAACTGTCAGTATTTTTCCCCCCTCTCTCCTATCCTGCAGAAATGGAGGCAAACGACCATTTTAACTTTACTGGCCTTCCCCCCGCACCTGCTGCCTCAGGACTGAAACCCTCTCCTCCCTCAGGGGAGGGCCTCTACACTAACGGGTCTCCCATGAACTTCCCCCAGCAAGGGAAAAGTGAGTGTGAGGGCCACTTGGCCTGGGAGGGAATGGGCATCATCAATCCTTTAGGGCAGGTTGATGGGAGGAGATTTGACTCCACTTTGGGCTAGCTACCTCACAGCAGCTCTCTTTCCTGCCTGCTGGGAAGGGAGGAAGTGAATCCACAGAACTCCAGCTGCTAGAGAGAAATCAAACTTCTAAGAACAAGTTCTAGGGGTTTATAGCAACATTTTGACTTAGAGTTGGAAGAGATTAGAAAAACATACTAGCTTTTTAATCTTGGCCTGCTCTTCTTCGTCTTTTTTTTTTTTTTTGAGTTAGGTTCTCAATCTGTCTCCCTGCTGGGTTCAGGTGATCCTTACGCCTCAGCCTTCCAAGTAGCTGGACTTACAGGCACGTGCCACCATGTACAGCTAATTTTTTGCTTTTTTTGTAGAGATAAAGTCTCACCAAGTTGCCTAGTCTGGTCTTGAACCCATGGCCTCAGGCACTCCTCTTACCTCAGCCTCCTAAAGTGCTGGGATTATAGGCGTGAGCCACCACCCCTGGCCCTGGCCTGCTCTTCTGTCAGCTGTCTTCTCTGGCTACTGCCAGAGTGGGGAGATGGCCACTGCTGCTAGAGAGGGAGAGAGGCCCAGCCCTCTGAGAAACTGCTTTTAGAGGTTAGAGAAGCTGCAGTCAACTAGAACTGGGGATGGCAAATTGAATAAAGGTTGCGATGTGTTTGCCTTTTAAGTTTGTGCATCACAGAAAGGGCAGAAGCTACAAGTGCCTGTGCCACCTCATGTCCTTGGATAGAAGGTAGGGACAAGGCAGGGCTTAGTGCTTACCTAGTTTTCCAGAGAGAAATCCATAATTCCAGATGAAAGTGTGGCTGCCAAGATTTGGTCTTTCCCTGGATTTGGCTTATTGGTTGCTGTGTACCACAACTCTGCCAAGCTCCTTTCTAATCTTGCTTGGATTTCAGGTCTTTTATGCTTGGAAGCAGAGAGAAGCCCACATACTTCTCTCCTTTCTTGCAGCAGAAAAGTACTGCCACTTCTTCCTCCTATCCTCTGTGAGGGGGTTGCAGATAGATAGAAGCTCCTTTATTTCATTGGAGTTTCCCCCCTCCCCCAAGCTTCCTTAGTATCCTGGTTCCTTTTATTTGATTGTCCTTGCCCCAGAGGTTGCCATTGGTGTTCAGAGCTGAATTCTGCAGCGCTTGTCATGCAAAGATATTGCCCCTGCATGTTGCCCTTCAGTGCCTATGCTGAGGGGCCAGTAGTCCTAGCCTTCTGAGCTGGGATCTTGTCGCTGTGGTGACTGCAAATTCTATTCTTAGCCCAGCACAAAGTGCTGGATCTGCATGTGCCAGTGAGGTGGAGGCTGTCCCTTCTGGTGCCACTGTGGGGCCAAACAGGCACTGGGGAAAGGAGGGCCCTGGAGAATTCAGTCGTCCCCCTCCAAGGAAAGGATTCCCCTAGGGAATGAGAGTAGGGAAGAATGCAAGTCACTGTAGGGAGTCTGCAAACAGCTTCATTTAATTAAAAAAAAAATAAAGTCAGCAGCAGCCAGCTCTCTGCTGGTGGAACAGAGAGCAGAGCGTGGTAGGCCTGGAGATCTCTCCAACCCCCTACTCAGCAGCCTCAGTAGCATTTGCTAAGCCTGCATCCAGGAGCATCTGGGTTGGTGTTTCCTAGAGACCCCAAAACTAAATATAGCAGAGGGAAGCCCCCTTCCCCCTCACCTTCTCTTTTTCTAGTCAGTGCTGTTACTTTGGGGTTTTGGTAGAGTTACTTGCGTATATATCCGTAACCCTTTTCTTTCCTTCTCTGCCAGGTTTGAATGGGGATGTGAATGTTAATGGCTTATCTACTGTATCTCACACTACTACTTCAGGGATTTTGAACTCTGCTCCCCATTCCTCCAGCACCTCACACCTCCATCACCCCAGCGTGGCCTACGACTGTCTCTGGAACTACTCACAGTACCCATCTGCCAATCCTGGCAGCAACCTCAAGGACCCACCCCTTCTCTCCCAGTTCTCTGGGGGACAATACCCACTCAACGGCATCCTTGGAGGCAGCCGGCAGCCTTCATCCCCAAGTCACAACACTAACCTTCGGGCTGGGAGCCAAGAGTTCTGGGCCAACGGTACCCAGAGTCCCATGGGGCTTAACTTCGATTCACAAGAACTGTATGATTCCTTTCCTGACCAGAATTTTGAGGTGATTCCCAATGGACCCCCTAGTTTTTTCACTTCCCCACAGACTTCTCCTCTGTTGGGATCTAGCATTCAAACCTTTGCACCCTCCCAGGAGGTAGGCAGTGGTATCCATCCTGATGAGGCAGCAGAAAAGGAGATGACTTCAGTTGTGGCAGAGAATGGAACTGGCTTGGTAGGCAGCCTGGAGCTGGAAGAAGAGCAGCCAGGTATAACTGGGTCCGGGAGCTGGGTGGGGAGAGAGTAAATGGGGCTGTGGGGGACAGTGGCTTTTTGAGGTGAGGAAAACTTGTCTTTCCTGCTCTCTGCAGTGGAGGCTGATTTGCATGTTGGTGATTAGCAGAGCCAAGTGGCTGGTGTTTTTGTGGCAGCAGCACCAGCTCGCGAGTGGGAGTGCAAATTATTTCAAGCTCATGCAGAGCTGCTGGCCTGGAGAGGGCAGGTGGGCGAGCCCAAAACAGCCCCAACAGACACCCTGCATCCAGAAGGGCTTTTTCCAAAATATACGAGGGGCTAGGGCACTTGGCAGTGGACATTGAGGCTGTTTTGACTGGCTGTGGCAGGGTCAGACTGGCTGCTAAAGTGGGCTGGGCTATAAGCAGTGATTGGCATGTGAAGGAGGGAAGGAGTCATAGTGTACCATTGCTTGTCTACTCAGTTTTCTTTTTTCTTGTTAGCATTGGTACATGTGACAAGCCGTCTCACCTTTTCCCTCAAAATAGATCAAAGCTTAGGTTGCAACTGATTCCCAGTACAAGGGTGACCACCACCCTATAAAAATCACAGGATGTTTTCTCTGTTTTTACTGGTAGGGAGTCTGAGAACGTGATGGGGTTCTCGTCTCAGACCCTTTTGCCTTCTTTGCCTTTACTCTCCTTTCCCTTCTTTGTCTGCTGGAGGGTTGATTTTACCAGCATATCTGCTCAGAGTATCTTGATATGTTCAGTTCCCAGCGTAGACCTGGCATCCTGGCAGCAGTAAATGCTGAATGAATGAACATCTTTCCAGCAAAGATTGCCTGCTATATATACTACATGAACTAGTTGAAGGCACTGGTTTTGACTTTTGGTCTTCTGAAATTTCCTAGAACTGAAGATGTGTGGTTACAATGGCTCTGTCCCCTCTGTGGAATCCTTACACCAAGAAGTCTCAGTCCTGGTCCCTGATCCCACCGTGAGCTGTTTAGATGATCCTTCACATCTTCCTGATCAACTGGAAGACACTCCAATCCTCAGTGAAGACTCTCTGGAGCCCTTCAATTCTCTGGCACCAGGTAGGCTTGGAGGCTGGAACCCTTCAACTTATCTATGCAGAGAGTAGCCAACTTCTGTTTCCTAGAAGAGAGAGTAAAACAGGGAAAGTATTAGGGATCTGGGGCATCAGGTCTTCCAGATAGCCCTGTGGCAGACCACAGTTAGATGCCACTGGCCTCACTGGGCCAACTGAACTCTGAGCTAGATTGGTTCATTTCCCAGGCTTTCTCCCAGTGTTCTTTTGGCCAAGAGCCCTGGGCTGTAATAATTCACTGTGTAGGGACTTATAACCACACAGTTGGACTTTTTAGGTTCTAACTAGACAGAAAACATTTGCCAGCGAACAATTACCTTTTACCCCAATGGAGTACAAGAAAGGTCTACTAGCTGGGCTCGGTGGCTCAGCCTGTAATCCCGTGCCTTGGGAGGCTGAGATGAGTGGATTGCCTGAGTCCGTGGGTTTGAGACCCGCCTG